ATATTCTCAATAAAGAGACTTCTTAAGATTAGAATTTGTTCACACCATCCCTTTAAGTCTCTTTCTAACTCTATCACAACATAAAACTTAATATCTCAAGTTATCACACTTCAACACCCTATGATTAAGTTAAGGCTTGATCCAAAATTCACCAAACAAGAAATTAGCTTCCTATTACCACATATCCAAGATCAATAAACCTAAATTAAACTTTTAGAGTCAATAGAAACCTTCAAAACATTGACTCATGGCTTAATCCAATCAAACCAAATTCTTAATCTTCCAAATCCCATGAAAAATGAGATGAAAAGATAGAGGAGAAGGGTTGGTAAAAGAGTTTGGAGACTCAAATTATCTTCAAAATCCTTTCAAATGATGCCCTAGCAGTGCCCAAAGTTTCCCCCTTCATGCTCTTAGTTTTCCACCATAAAATCTATCAATTTTTGATCATTTCTGAAATTTTAAGTTGCCTACTGTGCCATGCACCGTAGCGCACGCCACGCAAGCCACGGCTCATGATGCAGCAAGCAACAAGTTGATTTTGCTCCCCCCAATGCCTCCCGACTTGATCCGACTTTCATGCTATCTCAATTTAAAGCCAAATATGACCTAAAAATCTAATTAGCCACCTAAGAACATAATTAAATAAATTAATCATACTTTTAACTAATTTATCCCTTAAATTAAACAACTTTTCTAGATTTGAAGTTTTAGGATGTTACAGGACTTCACCCAGGGTTTGTGTGGATGTATGCGTGTAGAGATGTGAGTGAAAGAATCCATATGATTGGGGGTAATCCGGTATAGCATTATATTAGGATTGTTATCATGGGATATTCAAGCAGTCTGGTAACTCCCTAGTGCCTGTTAAGGTATGGTTAGGAATCAATGATGTCTCGATCATAAGTGTGTGAGATGAGGGAAACTATAGTTTAAAGGTGGAATAGATTACCTTTGGTCGGGTGTTTCTACCACCAAAGATGTGCTCAAGTAAATATGTGATTGATCTAATAGAGCCTATCATTTCGTGTCAGGGGGCTTTGGAGGATTGGTGGATAGATAATCATGCTAGTAAATGTGATTGTGTGAGATGTTAGGAAAAGAGAATAGCTAAATAAAAAGCTATGTTATAATCTATATAAACCTTTACTTGATTTTATTTACTTTCATACAGTTATTTGTGATAATGGACATTAATGAGCTACATTGGTTATTAAGATTTTGATCTCACCTGTGGTTATTTACATTTTTCAGGTTATGGTACTAGTAGTGTAAAAGGAAAGGAAATGGTCTAAGTAAAGACTCCTCTAAAAAGCCTATTGTAAGATGGTGTGATGAATGTGTTTTTGATAATGCTGAATGTGTATATAAGTTTCCATAAGATTTAACTCATGTGTATAGTTTGTGGATGCTTGTGTGTTTGTATGATTTTGATGTTATACGAATGAGGACGATGTGATGACATGGGATAGTAGCTTACTATGTATACATGTGGGGTATTTAATATGTGTGTGGAATTAGGCCATTGTGTGATTAAAATGGGGTATTTAATGGAATTAGGCCATTGACATTAGATTCTGGTATGTGCACTATGGTGCATGTGTCAATATGTGACAACATGTCGGGCTGCATGGTATAGAGCGTGATACTAGTGTCTCTGTACCACATGCCACGGTGCATATGGCACGAGCCACTGTGCATGTCTCATAATTTGTGAAAATCTGAGTGGTTTGAGTTTGTACTCTTTACCTAATCCTAATTGTTTCCACTATGTATTGCTTGGTATAACTTAAATCATTTTTATGAAGTAATTTCTGAAAATTTTACATTAGGATCCTAAACTTTTAAAATAAATGTTTTTTAATTGATTAGTGAATTGTGTGGAAGATTGTAGGGTAATGTTAGTAAGGGCATTACACAAGGACATGGCCATCATCTATGGATATTTTAATGACATCAGCTAGCAACCAACGATAGCCTATACAGCTTGCAAATAGGAAGATCATCCATGAATCTCATGGATCATGCCTACTGAGTCATCGATGCTTCAGGAACAAATTCCAAATTCCATGGGGGTAGGGGGTAGCCGTCTTAACTAAACCAATATAAAAGGAAGAGAATGTCATAAAGAGAGAACACCAAACAACCATCAGTCATCAAAGTCCATTACACTTTTAACTTTTATTTTCAAATAGCTTTATTGTCATTATCATCTTTAGCATTGTAATCTTTACAACTTTGTAATTTTCATAATCTATTAATCAAATACTTGTTATTCTAATTCCTTTATATCTTTTACATCTAGGTAAATTGTAGTATGAGAGCTTGGGGACCCTTTGTTATCATTTGAGACTCAACATCTTTGGCATGCCTGGTATTGTTGTTGTTCATGATGAACAATTTTTGGCATGCTGATAGGGATTTAATCGCTTACCCTCAAAATTAAACTAAAGCTAATCCTAATATAATATAGGGCCAACCCTAGGTCATCTCCCAAGGAATGGTTTCAAGTCTAACAAAAGGTATATAGTGAAATAAATCACTCAAAATTTCAAGTTAATTAACTAAGTGCTAACCTAATTATCTAGTGAATTAAACTAGAAAACTAATCCTAATTTTAAAAAAAGTGGCTTCCCAATTTAAGTAGGAACCCTAAGGTGTTGCTAATAGAAGAATCCTAATTCTTAATCAAACATGGCAGCTCACTCAACTCCTCTTCTTTGGCTAAAAAAAATGAGTTTATCTAAGACAACTATCTCAAGTACCTTAGCTTCACTAATTCAATTCTCTAAGTGCTATTACAAACCCCTTAAGTAACCTCACTAGCTTAGCTCTAAAATTAACCAAGTGTTTAGTTAAAATTCATTTGTAATTGCCACTACTCAAAGCTGTACCTAAGCTTAAAAGTATAAAAACTCAAGCAACTCATCAAGTATTCACCACACAATTACATGCTAGGCTAATACAAGACATTCACCTATTGAAATCACATATTACAATGTAAATTCATGAGGAGGCCAAAAATTCCAACAGCAACAACAACATGAAATTTAACTAAACAATCTTGTTTCAACATTACAAATTACAAACAATTATGAAACTAAAGTCAAATTGAACCACAATCAACAATAGTCATAATATTCTAATGGAATTGAAATAAGATGAAAAAAATAGTTCAGCATTGCCAAGTGAAGACTTCAAAACTCCTCTTCCATCAACTCTCCCCTAGGATTTCATGGAGAATCTAGCTAGAAACATCAAGAACTCCTTGCTCCTCCAAGAACACTAAGACATCAAGACATGCTCCATGAATCTTGATGAATTGAGCTTCAAATCTCCTTCTGTTGCAAGGGGTAGAGTTGGCCATGAGAGGAGAAGAGAATGGAGGAAGAATTGAGTAGATTTGATGGTGAAAAGTGGATGAAAAGGTGGTTGGATGTGGCTGTATGTGTAGAGAGAAGGAAAAGAAAAATGAAGAACAAGATGAACAAGAGAGAGAAATTGTGGAAGATGAGTGAGATAAGTGTTGGATCAGATTTTGGGGGGTGTGGGACATGATCTAATGTTTCCCCATCAGCTGAAGCTCAATTAAAAAAAATAAGAAATAAATGGAAAATGGGAGCCTTGTCATACTTGCAAGGTGGCACCATCCTATTGGCTTGTAGATGATTCCAATGTGTGTACAATTAATCCCATGTGTCATCCACAATTTTAGCTAATCTAAACCACCAAATAGGAGTCCTTACATGTCCAAACCATTAGACTTTAACCCTATGGACTTTTGACTTCATTTGCCTAATTGATGCACAAGTCACATGTCACCTATGTCACATAAATCATATAATTTAATTAAATAACATGTGACATTATAAAATGTAATTGAAGTCCAGAATTGAATTCATAATTAGAAGAGAGAATTAATTAAAATAATCAAGTTTTAGGCTGCACAAAATTATATTAAAATTTTCGCACAAAAGCAAACCGAAAACTAAGTCAAACTAAAACACTTAAGAAAGTGTTAACTTTTTATTTAATTACTTTCAAACTAAAATGAACTTTAAAAATCAAATTTCACCACTCATTAACTGAACATAAAATGCAGTTTGTCAATTTTTCTTGTACAATTTCTCAAAATTTATTTTTTAGACCAAAATGCCTCTAGTACATTAAACCTAGAAACTTAGGCAAAATTATAAATCTAATACAATGTGTACACTTTGAGGTGATAAATCATTAATAAAAAGGTCCTAATTGACAAATAAAAGTGCGTAACAAATGTGTTCTATCACACGCCCGATGGGAAATGTGTAGCAAGATGCCAAGGATGAGAAATGTAATGCCCTTACTGACATTACCATATGTTCTACTACAATCAATTCAAATCACTTTGAAATCATATAATTTGAAAACATTGAAAGTCTTGGGATCCCAAGAAAAGATTTCCAAAAATCATTTTATGAATCACTTGGGTTATAAAACCTCATACACAGTAGAAGCATATTGCCTAAATGCATTAAAGATCAAGAAAACATGTGCAAATCTGAAAAACAAAGTAAAATTTGGCACCGTGCGCCATAGTTCATGCCACATGCACCACGGCATATGGCATAGAGACCATAGCTGCTTGCTCTGTGCCATGTGCCGTGGCGCACACACTTGAAATTGCTATTATTTTTACAGTTTCTAAGGCAAACTTCAGATACGCGACATTTCCACATCTAATATCTGATTAGGATGGTTTAAGCGCTTATATGAAGCTTACTTTGAATTCTAAATAATGACACTAGTTTCATCTGAATCTGATATTTTTATAAAAAATTGGACATCTAAGTGCATTTTGATCATTTTCTGTCAAAATTTTTGTCACTTAAGTGTCTCAATTCAAAACCAAATGTTATTAGCCACTTTTTAGGCCTTGACTACATCCAAATGAACAATACACACCTGATTGACCATACACATGCACAATATAACACATATACACAGATTTGGCCTGTAAATTGCCCATTTCACACTTTTAGGCCAAATCTCATTTTCATTTCTCTAATCTTATACATGGCCAAATCATCACACATACTCTTCAAACATCTCATTTTCACACACATATACATTCTTCCACTAGCCCATCTAGTCATTTCATCATTCATACATATACAAAAGGCTAGGGAGCTTAAAATCACAAAACGCAACATTTACCACAATATGCACATCCTCAAGTACTAAAGCAACTTATACACAGTACAACTTACAAAGTCATTACACCAATTCTTACAAAGGCTTAGGTGAGAGATGTCAACTCAACCTAGGTCCTTTCCTTTCGATGCACCAACACTAGAACCTGAAAAATATGTATAACCATGAGTGAGATAAAAATCTCAATAACCAATATAATTCATTTAATGCCTATTACTACAAATAACCATGCTAAAGTAATAAAAACTATAATATAACATAAATATATAGCATAGAATAGCTAAAAACATCATTTTTCACATATAAATCATTTCTCAAACACTTTTACACCTTAGCATGATCAACTATCTACCAATCCTCTAACGCTCCTTGATACGAAATTATAGGCTCTCCTGGATCAACCACTTATTGACCCGAGCACACTTTCAATGGTAGAAGCACTCGACCAAAGGTAATCTAATCTACTTACGGACTATGGCTTCCCTCTTCACACACTTGTGATAGAGGCATCGTTGACTCCTAACCGTACCCTAACGAGTAATAGGGAGTTGCCAGACTGGTCAGATATCCATAGTAACAGTCCCATAATATACTGTGCCGAATTACCCATGGTACCAGTACAAATAATGCCGCACCAGATGTCCCATGGTGCTAGCTTGATCATATGAATTTTTCACTCACATACCTCCACACACACAGATCCCCATATATCCTGGATGAACTCCACCCCTTATGATCATGCTCTTTCACAATTATCACTACTTATGCACATTTGCACAACATATACTTTCGTATCATATATATATATATATATCCATTGAAATCAATGACTTTTCAAATTCCATTGCACAAACCAATGTTCATGCTAAAATCATTTTTAATATCAAATCATACACAAACTCTTAAAGTAACAAATTCATCAATTTGTATTCATTCTACGCAATTATAATAGTTAATAAACACAATAAAATATATGCTTACCTTAACCTTTCTGTCCAATAGAAAGGTTTACCTATGTAACTTTCTTACTCAAATCTCTTTTCACTTATCTACTCGTCACATGTAATGCCCACCTTGACATTACCAAAATTCACCACACACTCACAACAACCAATCATAATTAGGAGCAAGGATTTGCTCATAATCTCACATTATATATAAAAGGGTTAAAATTAATAATCTTTTAAAAATAATTGTAGAATTGAATCCCATTAAAATCTTTTAAATTGATAGTTTAAGCTCAAACTTAAGGATTTATAAAGGTATTGGAAGCATAGAAAAGTTTTAGAAATTAAACCACTTCAAAACAGGGCTAAAAATGTCATTTTTGAGTGTTTTGGTCCATGCGCCGCGGCTCGTGGTCCGTGCGCCGCAGCTTGTGGCACAAAATGGCAAGTTTCCTTGCTATACCGTGCGCCGCGGCACACCTATCCATGACACCAATGCTGTCATGATAACTTTTCTAGACGAACTTCAAACGCGTGCCATTTTTACATCCGATATCCAATTGGAGTGATTTAAGCGCCCATGCAAAACTTATTCAATAAGCTAACTAATGGTATGAGTTTCATTACGATCCAACACCGTATGAGAATTTTAGATACTCGAATGCAAAAGTTAGTTTTTTAAAGAAATTTTCAACCATCCAAGTATCCAAAACTCATAATTTATACCATTAATCCATTATAAGGATTGAACCAAGTCCAATAGACCAAAATACACTTGAGTGACTAATCAAACACACAAAAATATACCAAACACAAAATTTGACCACTCAATGGTCATTTTGCCCAATATGGCCAAAATGCACAATTAGCACTATAAGCATTATTTGACCTCTATTGCCACATAATACACTACCAATACATTATCACCACTTAGATAAAACATTCCTTGCACTTGTATTAGTATTTTAGCCTATCACCACAAAAATTGCCACATATTCATATCACATATCATATTGGGCTAAAATACAAAATAACATAGTATGAAACAAGTGCAACCAATCAAAATAATATGCATTCCTAGTTGGCAACATATAATATCATAGCAAGTTTATGTACACCACTCAAACCAAAATCGGGCTTTACAAAGAGTGTAGCAGATATGCTAACCCCTGCCGATTCCCTCCCTAGCTCAGTCTCACTGGTAGCACCTGTAAAATGATTAACAAGTCAAGTTATAAACAAGCATTAAAATAAGTGACATAATCACATCATATAATATCACCACAAATTTGCATGCATGATCCCTAACCATCTGGTCCTCCAATACTCCCTACCGAACCAGTAGGCTATTTCACAGAACCAAACTACATGTATGGTCCCCAAGCTCACCATCTATAGTAGGACTACTCGACCAAGGTGTCCTAAACCACTTTTGGACTACTGTTTCCCCCTATTATAAGTAATTAAGGTGTCGTTACTCCAACACCACATCTTACGGATGCTAAGGAGCATACTCTCTAACTCCGCACCCTTTTGGATACTAAGGAAAGTAAGTCTCCAACACCGCACCCATTTTCGGGCACTAAGAAGAGTAAATGCTGCATCTGGCATCCTGAGGTGCTAGCAATGCCATATGGACTTAAATCTTCACTATCTCTACTAAGGTGACCTTCCACCCTCTAATATGCCACATTTCACTACGTATCTCCACTTAATCATGCATAAACAACTTTTCAAACAAGTATAATAAAATATTTCCATTCACTTCAAAAATATAGAATTTTACAAACCAATACTCCACTTTTTTTAAAAATAGTTAACCTTTAAAGAATTTATGCATATATCCTCAACAAATCATAGAAAATCACTTGAGAATAACTTATACAAGGTAATAAACAATGCAAATTATCTAGTTACCTCAACCCTTTCGTTACTAAAAGGGTTACTCGTGGTACTAATTCTCTTCTTGTGTCAAGGTAAATCTTCCCACATCACAATCTACATCAACAAGTACTATATGTTAATTTTCAATTAACACAAGTACTATTAGCTACCAATAACCTCCCAATTCTCCCACTTCTCACTCATATTCTCAACAAAGAGGCTTGTTAAGATTAGAATTTGTTCACATCATCCCTTTAAGTCTCTTTCTAACTCTATCACAACATAAAACTCAATATCTCAACTTATCACACTTCAACACCCTATGATCAAGATAAAGCTTGATCCAACTCCCACTAAACAACAAAGTAGCTTCATATTATCACATATCGAATATCAATAAACCTAAATTAAACATTTAGAGTCAATAGAAACCTTCAAAACATTGACTCATGACTTAATCCTATCAGACTAAATTCTCACTCTTCCAAATCCCATGAAAAATGAGATGAAAAGGTAGAGGAGAAGGGTAAGAAACTTACCCAAGAGTTCGAAGGCTAAAATGATCTTCAAAATCCTTCCAAATTGATGCCCTAGCAGTGCCCAAAGTTGCCCCCTTCATGCTCTAGGTTTCCTACCCCAAAATCTAATTTTTTCTGCTGATTCCCAAAAATTTAAGTTGCTTGTTGTGCCATACACCGCAGCGCACGCCATGCAAGTCGCAATTCACGGCGCAGCAGGCAACAAGTTGATTTTGCTCCCCCCAATACTTCCCGACTTGATCCAACTTTCATCTTATCTTAATTTAGAGCCAAATATGACCCAAAAATCCAATTAGCCACCCAAAAACATAATTAAATAAATTAATCATATTTTTAACTAATTTATCCCTTAATTAATCCATTTTTTCAAATTTGAAGTTTTAAGATGTTACATCACATGCTAGAATCTCAATAAAAATTGGCATTCAAAGTCAATTTCACTATTGATAAAAGTGCCAATTATCGCAATTAAACACCTAACCACTATGAATTCCACAATTCACACTCGATAACATGCATTACCACTGATTACCACTCATTTCAAACCTTAACCTTTTCTAGCAAATTTTCTCTCACTACTCTCTCTAGATTGGGGCAAATCTTGCCTATAGCTTTACAACTTTATCATTCTGACTCAAACCGGTCAAAAAGTACTAGTGCTATAGGGTAAGAAATCAACTCCTTAAAACTCCCAAATTCAATTTCTCACTAGTTAAAACTAAGAGAAAAGAGGGTAAAATCGGAGGTTAAGACAGAACATGACTTACTTGATAATTAACAAGTCAAAAACACCATCCTTACTCTTAATTTTGCTTGCTCTAGTAAATCCCCTACTCTTCTCCACATCTGAACCCTTTCCTCCTTATTTCCCTTATATTCTTCATGAGTTGGACAAGTCCCACTTATCAGAGTTCTGCACCATGCACCGCAGCATATCTATCCCCTGTCATGGCATGTGGCATAGTGAGGGAAATCCTCACTGTGCTCACACACTCTGTTTCGAGATTCTTCTCTTTCGCTAATATCTATCCATATAATATCTGAATAGGTTAAAACAACACTTCACCATTTAAAACCCTAATCCCACATTAAATCACTAATTCATTCCTATTCACTCATTAAGGCAAGATTAGAAATTCAGGATCTTACAGTTCTCCCTTTCTATTAAGAATTTTGTCCTCAAAATTGAAACAACTCAATATACATACATACCTAAGGGAACAATTAAAGGTATAGCTATCGCATTATAGCTTCTGTCTCCCAGGTCGCATCACCAGTAGTCATACCCTTCCAGAGCACCTTTGCTAGTCAAATAGTTTTGTTTCTTAATTGCTTATCCTTCATATCCACTATTCGCTCCGGTTCTACTTGGTAGCTCATATTCTCTTGCAACTCCACCTCTTCAGGCTTAATCATATAGGAAGGATTCAGTTGATACTTCTTGAATTGAGACATATGGAATACATCATGAATCCCTAATAACTATGGAGGTAAGGCAATTCAGTAGGCAGTCAGCCTTATTTTCTCTAAAATTTTGAACGGACTCATGAATCTAGGAGTCAATTTCTTGGCTTTAATTGACCTCTCGATTCCTATTATTGGCGTAACTTTCAAAAACACATAATCACCTACCAAAAACTCCAATAGTCTTCTTCTTCAATCAGTATAGCTCTTTTGCCTGCTTTGAGTTGTCAATAGCTACTGTCGTATCAATTCAATCTTTAGAGTGGTTTGGTCCATAATGTCAAGTCCTACTATACTTCTCTCACTCAGCTCAATCTAACATAATGGCAATCTATACTTTCTTTTATATAAAGCTTCATATGGTGCCATCTGAATGCTATAATGGTAGCTATTGTTGTACGCAAACTCTACTAATGGTAAGTAGCTATCCCAGCTACCCCGCAACTCTAGCACACAAGATCGCAACATATCTTTTAGAGTCTGAATGGTTCGCTCATTCTACCCATCGATCTGAGGATGGTAAGCGATATTAAACTTCACAGTAGTACCCATAGCTCTCTGTAATGCTCCCCAGAACTTGGATATGAATCTCAGATATCAATCGAAGACTATATCCTTAGGCACTCCATGTAACCACACAACTTCATGGATATGAATCTCAAGTAACTTCTCTAAAGAATCACTGATCGTGATGGCTAAGCAATGAATTGAATTTGTCAACCAATCAACGTCACCCAAATAGCATTATGCCCCAACTGAGTTCTTGGCAATTGAGAGATGAAATCTATAGAAATGCTTTCACATTTCTACTTAGGTATCTCTAGTGGCTGTAACGTTCCAATCGGCCTCTGATGCTCAATCTTTACTTTATGACAAGTCAAACACCATGCTATAAACTCAGTTAGCTCTCTTTTCATTCCTAGCCACCCTAATAATGCTTTACATCTTGATACATCTTCATAGCTCCCGAATGAATAGTGTATTTACTATAGTGTGCTTCATTCAAAATCACCTCTCTCAAATCTACATCATTAGGCACACAAATTTTATCCTGGTATACGACGAATCCATCATCATTAAAGCTGAAATCCTTAATCAAATTCGACTCAACTTCTTCTTGAATCCTAAGAAGATATTCATCTTCTAGCTATGTCATTCTCAACTCCTTCCAAAAATCACTACTGTCATAGTAGTATAGGCACTAACTAAGGCTCTCAATGGGGCATCTTGTTGAGAATCAATGAAAGACTCCATTAAGTTGTGTTCTCAGACTATATGATAAAACACATTTATTACCCACTTTTATTTGTCAATTAAAACCTTTTTATTAATGTTTATCACCTCAAAGTACACACATTACATTCAATTTAGGAAATTGCCTAAGTGTATAAGTTTAGTGCACCGGAGGTATTTTGGTCCAAAAAATGAACTTTTGGAGAAAATGTACAAAAAAATTGAGTACATTTTATGTCCAATTGATGAGTGGTAAAATTATATTTCTAAAATTGAAAGTAATTAAATAAAAAGTCAATATTTTCTAAAGTGTCTTAGTTTAACTTAATTTTCGATTTGCCTTTCTGTGAAATTTTTTATATAATTTTGTGCAACTTAGAACTTAATTAATTTAATAAATTCTCCCTTATAATTATGAATTTAATTCTGAAAATTAATTAGATTTTATTATATCACATGCTATTTAATTAAATTATGTGATTTATGTGACATAGGTGGCATATGACTTGTGCATCAATTAGGCAATTGAAATCAACACTCCTTGAGGTCAAAGCTGATGGTTTACACATGAATTAGGCTTTATTTGGGGATTAAATTAGCTTGAAAATGTGAATGACATAAGGAAAATTACACACGCATTGGAATACCAACCAATAGGAGGTTGCCACCTTGCAAGTGTGACAAGGCTCCCATTTTCATTTTAATTTCTTTTCCTTTTTTTAATTAAGCTTCAGCTAATGGGAAATAGAATAATCATGCCATTCTCACCAAGAATTCAAATCCAACACTCATCTCATTCATCTTCTACATTTTCTCTCTCTTGTTCATAGTGTTCTTCATTTTCTCTCTTTTGTTCATATTGTAGTTTCCTCAATGAACTTCAATCAATAGAGTACTCAATTCACGCATTGGTTTCAATTTGCCCACAAATTCAAGGATCCAAACTAGAATTGCTCACAAGTATGCAAGTCCAAAATATTCGAGATCTCTATGGTGAACATGTCTGATTAGGAATCTACAAAGCTCCCTAAAGTTGTACAAAGTTTGAGCTCCATATCAGGTAACTTGTGATGGTCTTATACAAAGACAATCATGACAATTGCATAAAATAATTCACTAAATATCTTGGTCTCTATCCCAATACATTAGCTGAACTTTAAGATATTAATTATTGAAGGTAATGGTCTTTGCCATGAAAAAAAAGATGGTCTAAAATTAACAACTATCCTCTTAGGTTAGGCTTAAAAACATAAGGGATTTTGGTATAAAAAGACTTGTAAGCCCTACTCTTATAAACCTTGCAAAAGTAGCTCAAACTCAGCTAACCCTTAAACCATTATATTTTTTTGTAACATTAGTTATATAATTTATTTAAAGTTTTGAATTAATAAATAACACAATTTGTTAAATATTTATTCTTAGGTAACAAGCATAGTGTTAGTGAAATTGTTGAAAAAGCACCACGCTCTCCAAGTAGACCTATCTGTGAAGGTGTAATGTTTTATTTTTGAATAAAGATTGATGATAATAAGAACAAGGTACTTTGTAATTTACACATACGTATTAGTTAAGTGATAAATTTTAATTTTAGAAGAGCCTGGATCTGAGCTCGGGCTTGGAAAAAAGTACTAGTTTAAATGTAAGAGCTTATTAGATTGAGCAATTAAAAGTCATGCCATCCCTTATTGGTACCTCTAATTGTGATTCCACTGAAGCTTAGTCTCATAAAGTGGACATTCCTAAAATTACCATCTTACTAGTTCCATTAGAAAGATTAGATGCAAGCATACCTAATGCCAATTTTCTTTTCTTTTTTCCTTAGCCGCTTTTTCTTGCGTCGTTCTTGACTGTAGGATTGTACTGCCAAAAAGAACCACCTGCATATGGTATTTTGTTCAATTTTCACATAATTTGCTTCTTCAGTTCTTCATGAGAAAAAGTTCCTACATCCACTACAAAATTAAATTCTTCACAATAATACGAACGAAAAGTCCGAAGGGAGAGACTTCTTTTTCCCCCCTTATCAAGACACTTTAATTAAATAAATAAAAAAATTTACATACGCAAAACAGATATATTAATTAATAATTAATTAAAAGGGAGAGAAATCTTAATTATGATTTGATGATAGAGTCCAATTTTACACAATTAATGAAAATGAACACGATGGCTCTGTAAATATTGAAGAGAGCTTAATCACGATGTTCCATACATGTTACCAAACCCTATTGCAACGTTGCATTATCATCATTATTTAAATAAGCATTAAATAAAATCAAGCATCAATTTAAGGATGGCCTTCGGCTTCATATTCATGATTCATGGGCAGGGACTCCTACATGGCTAATATCATCATCAAGTGCAATTCCTATTTTGTCCATTTAGGTTATAAAAAATAATTTAGCAAAAAAAACAAAACAAAACAAAACAAAACAAAAGTGATACTTTCTTAGGCAACCAAGTATAATCTAAATACTTAACTCAGTAATTTGGTAGATAGATAGTTACAAAGGTCTATTTGACAGCTAGCACTTAATTTAAGAGAAAGAAATCATGCTCCAAGTGCACAGGCAATGAGCTTGAACTACAAAAAGAGCTGTCAACTGAAAAGTCAACTACAAATGAACAAAACGTTCAAGAGCTTTCAACTTCCTACTTTGATTTGTCAGACCACCAAATTCAAAAGGATTTTGAGTCAACAACTTTAGCTTGAAAAGCAGACATGTCAACCTGTAACACTTTGCATTATAATGAATTGTTAGAGCGATCAGTAATCTTGTCACTACAGTGCAACCTTCATTGCATTAGAAGGTAACATCCACCCATAGTTACCTAACATGGACTATACTGCTGTAAAACTTAATGCAAAGGGGAAATTGAGCAAAAGAGAAAGAATGAGTAAATTGTGATTCTCAAAAGACAAATGTAAAGGTCTACAACCAAATCAATGCTTGAAACCAGAAAAAGAAATCCCTACTATTTAAATGAGTCTACAAATCAAACTAGAACCCTAATATATTTAATTCAAGATTCGAAACATCAGTTTTTCCCTCTCAATTTATAGAGAGACAAACACGCTTGGATATGTAGAGGATATGGTCTGCAAGAAAGACAGAGTCCCAAGAAATGGTTTGCTTGTTGGTAAATAAGAGTTGCGCTTCACTTCAGTTCTATCGTCTGACTAGTACAAGGAAAATTTGAAAATTTGAGAGGGAGTAAACACTTCAAATTTTTAATCGACCTAAAACAACTATCGGGAAACATATCATAATCTGCTTGAGTCTTTACTCAAAATTCACTCAAATTTAAGAGGGCGTAAATTTTGAGCTTTCTTCAAAAAATCACGCATGCATACTGCAAAATACTTGTCCAAACAGTCTAGTTGACCGAAATAAGAATTAATCAAAACACTTGCAGCAATTCACAGTAACAATTTCAGCTCATCCAACTCTTGACATTAAACATTAAGATCAGTAAGTTGGGAGACCTAAAACTAAAGATCTTGATATGTTAATACAAACCTTTCTTAAAGATTCATACCTCAACAACTGCAGGTGACTTCCCAAAAAAAAAAAGCACTTCTCAATCGTAGATGGAATGAAGAAACCGCCAGTAATCAACTAGCTTGTGATCTTCAGGTGTCACCTCCCTCCATCCTCCCGTACAAAATATTGCATATGCGTCAGCTGCATACCTGATTGAAATAGAATCACAGTCAATCAAGATAACATCAGCTAGATAAAAGTAATCAAAAAATATACAGAAATAAGCCAGAAAACAAAAATGTACAATCTAACTTACTTGCCAACACCGTACAGCTGTGGGACATGAGTCCAACTATCGCTCAAATACTGTGATGAGAGACATTGCAAAGTCTCAACTCTTCTCAAAATACCTAGACTTGAGATTATATTTTCTATCTTCCATGGTGGAACTTGAATACATGTTTCAGCATCTGGACATAAATCAAAAAATCTTGAAAGTACCTTTTTCACCTGCATTTCAAAACTCTCAGGTTATTATAGCACCAACATTAGATCCATTTCATTAAATTGAAATTAAAATGCTTCATATATTGCTTCAAAAAACTATCTTACAAAATCAACACAAAAATATGAAGACCTGATTAAGATTCCAGGAAACAATACAAACCAAAAAACAATTCTTGCAGGAAATTGAAAGATACAAGGAAATTTAGAAAAAATATACCTGTCCTCCAGTAGTGCAATTTAGAAAGACATATAATCAAAACTTTCCAAGGGTCATGAGCATACTCCTCCTGGAGTAAACGATGGACAGAGCGTGGAGGCTTCCAAGTGTTGTCTGAAGTTCTCCTTTTATAGCACTCTTTCTTTGTCTCGTCTGCTGTAAGAACTGCCCTAGGTTTCCCTTTTCTGGTAATCACTTTCTTGCGCACAGGGTAAGGTTCTAGCTTGGATAGAATGCTGCTGGTAGCAACCCCATTTGAAATCTCCTCTGAACAGTATAGATATTTAGCCCCTCCACTGAGAGAAGAGCTCCATTTATAGCTTGGACCCCTACAGATGGAAAAGCAAGATCAGAGACTATTAATAATATTTAAATTTGAATGAAAAATAATATAGATGTCAACGGAGAAGAGAGACTAACGTGTATGCATATTCTGCGAAGAGATTCGGGTCTACAGGAATAACCCCATTTGAAATGTGTTCATCACTTGGAGGCTTCCAACTGTTGTCAGTGTCAGGAGTCCTCTTCCTCCTTTTGTAGGCTTCCTTCTTTTCCTCACTTCTGGAAAGACTGGGATTACACTTCTTTTTAAATGCACCAATGCTGCTGCCAGAAGCAAGCCCCCTTGAAATGTACTGAATCTTCCCGTCACCATCACTTTCGTTCCCTCCCGAATCTTTTCCATTAAAGCCTCCACGAATACAATGTTCCATTTTCCTAACAGCAGCATAATCATGTTTAAATTTTAAAACAAGAAAGAAAATTTCGACCAGGAAGAGGCAGAAAAGGTAGCGACTAACGCTAGTGCGTACCTGTGGGATCGACGACGACGATGCTTTTCCTCCGCCACGGTAGACCCGCTTCGTTCGCCACGGCCAGAGAGGCACTCCGACTGCGGAGCAAATGGAAAAGTCGGATTCGGCTCCTACTTATAATGCGTCTGACCAAATAAGGGTAAATTGGTCATTTCACAAATGAAATTTACTATTTACAGCAGGTCTCCCGCCACTGATCGGAAAAGGCGGTAACATTTCAATTTTTTTTTTTTTTTAGTATAAAATTTGATGATTTGATTATTTGAAGGGAAAAAATGAAATCTCTAATTTTATTCAAGTTATGAGCATTATAAATAGAATAGATCCCATTTATACACCATAGAAATGGCTGATGAATATTAGTTTTTTAATTTCTCAATTTATCTCGTGTTCATTTTATATTTATAAGTTTATATGTTTTTATTCCGGTATTGTTCTTAAAACTTTCTTGTGAGAAATTCTTTTTATTTTTTAACATTTTGATATATTGATTATTTTATTAAAAAAATGGCCGGTGAATATGAAACATGGATTTTTTTTTTAAAAGAATTAAAATGAAAGAAGGAAAATTAATGTAAAACATAAAAAAATTAAATGATTATTAAAACACATTGAACTGAAAAAAAATACAGTACTTATTTCTTATGGATATTCAAATTTAACACAGAAAAGGAAAGAAAATATCGCCAATCATGACTTAAATGAACTTTAAAAAGATGCAGCATTTTCTTTATGCCTCCCCTTGAAACCCTTTTATCATCTAACCCATTTATTGTTAATATCAACTAGTGTCCCACCACGTACGATACACTTACCTAATTAGATTAGTTTACGTGCGTTTTCAAAGCTACTTTCTTATAAGAGAAACTATGGATCCGTTTGGTTTTTCTCTGTTTTACATTCAAAAAATAAAATTTTACTTTTAAAAAATTAAAAATTATTTGGGTAGAATATTTTGCAGAAAAACACATCCTGAAAGTACATTCAAATAATAGCTAAAAGTGAATTTCTGAAACGTAACTATTTAAAGCTTTTAAAAAATAAATTTAAAAAGTAGAATGTTATTTGATCATACTACCTTAAGTTTAATCTCTTATTTTTTATTTAAAAAATATTTAATGCATTAAAAATATAATTATTATTTTAATAATAATAATTAGATATTAATTTTTTAGTATTATAAATTGAGTAATTAATCATGTTAATTTTTAGCATTAATGTATAATAAAAATTATAAATCTTTATTACATCTTTTAAAATTATAAATTAAAAAATAAAAATAACTAGAGATTAAATTTTTAGTACTATAGATCAATATTTATGTTATTTAAAATCTTTATTACATTTTTTAAATATTTTGAATATATTACATTTGTATAATAAAAATTATAAATCATTATAAATCAATGTTCTTTTTGGTAATTGTACATTTAAAAGCACATTTCACTATCACAAACCAAATAACTTTCAATGTATCAAATTGACTTTTGAAAAAATATATCCAAACACAAATTTCGTTACAACAACTGACTTTTATTAAATTGACTTTCACCAAATGGATTTTCACCAAATAAACTTTTGATAAACTGAAAACCAAACGCACACTATATTGTAGAGTATTGTTGTTATTACAAACCATATTACATGCTATGTATTTAAAATCAATGATGTTAATGTGTTATTTAGTTTTTTTTTTTTAAACCAAGTGAGGTCTTTAGCTTAATTGCATCAATTTGTGACCAACTAAACAAATATTAAATGTGAATAATATAATCATAATTCATTTTGATAGAGAAGTACAAACCATGAATAAAATTTAAGCAAATAATCAGTGTAAGAAATAATATAAAAAAAAACTATAGTTCATTTTCAATGTTCTTAAACATCTCTCGGAACACAACATAGGCTATTCTTGAAGACGCCTATTACTTTTGCCGTGGATCAGTATTTTTAGACCTTTTGTGTTTAAATTTATTTACATCTTGTCAAACTAATTACATGTACAAAAGAACTCATAATGATTAATATCTTATTTCGTTAATAAAATATCAAGCGAGTGATTCAATGTCTTTGGACTATAATTATTTAATAAAATATTAAAAGAGTATAAAAACAAATAAAAAGACTGATATATTGTGTAATTTAATGTTCAGAAAAATACTATCTCTATTCAAAAATGTAAGGCATTTTTTGAGAAGATATATGTTCAAAAATGTAAAGCATTTTAAATCTTTCAAGGTGTAATATTACCTTTTTCTCAAAAGTACCCTTGTTAATAATGACTTTATTTTTATTGTAGAGTGTTTAATAGGAATAAATATGAAAGATAGAGTTAGTTGAAAAGTAGGTAACTACTTTATTGGAGGTGAGATTCGATTAAAAATGCCTTATATTTTTTAACAGGGGGAGTATAACTCCCTCCCCCATGCCAAAAAAAATTAATTCATGCTTAATAAATAAAAATTTTGTTTTAAAAGCACTTATACTTTTTAAGAAAAGCAGTTTTGAAACAAAAAATTTTGTAAATTCAAAGCATTCATTAATTTCCCTTAGTAATAGAATTCATATTATAATTTTTTAGGTAATTTAATCATGTTCTTTAAAATTGTAATTGTTTATTGTTTATTGTTATAAAACTATTGAGTCATCACTGATAAGTAACTTAAAAAAATATCTATTCATTCTTTTGTCATGAAAATTAACATTGTCACAATAAAGATGAGGATTAATGAGCATTTTAGACCAAAAAAACTATTGCATGAATTATAACATCCTGAATTCCTAAGTCTTACATTAATGCTAATTGAGGGGTGGATTAGTAATTTAATGTGAGATTAGGGTTTTGGATAGTGAAGTGTTATTTTGACTCCTTGGCGTTTTATATGAACATATAGAAGTGAAAGATCGGCATTGTAAAGCAAAGCATATGAGTGCGGTAAGGAGTTTTTTCACCATGCCACATGCATTGGCTAATGTAGGATGCGGCACGGCATATGACACAAAATTCTAATAAATAAGGATGTGTATTAGCTCATGGAGGCTAAGGAAAAAGTGAGAAAAATGCACAGGAGAGGGAAGAGGAGAAGGACCTCTACTAGAGCAACAAATTTCAGGAGCAAGGATATCGTTTCCGACCTTTTACTTATCAGGTAAGTCTTGTACTGTCTTAACCTCAAATTCAACCCTATTTTCTCTTAGTTTTAACTAGTGAGAAACTAAATCCAAAAGTTTTAAGGAGTTGATTTATTGCTCTATAGTAATAAAAGTGTTCTCTGGGATGAAACTAGAGCTTTGGACTAGTTTGAGTCTGAATTATAAAGCTTTAGAGCTGTATGCTCAAATTGGTTGAGTTTAGAGAGAAGGAAATGGGCCAATTTGAGAATAAGCATGTTAATGCTTGTAATAAGAGGTAAGTGGGTGTTGTAGGTAGGAATGGACTTAAACGGGAGAAGTGATAGTTTAGATGCTTAATTGATATAATTGGCCCTTTTAGGTAATAAAATAATTGACTATGGTTGCCAATTTTGTGTAAATTTTTGTGTGTGATGAGTTGAATAGCAAAAGAGATTTGAGTAAGGGAATATAACACAGGTAACCCTTTTCTTGCAAACAAAAGGGTTAAAGTAACCGTATAGTTCATTATATTTATTAATTATTATAATTGTATAAAAGTAAATATGTAATTATAGTTTCAATGTTTGTGAACTTTTATGCATAGTTTTGCAAATGGTTTTTGTAACATCCTAAGACTTCAAATTTGGAAAAATGGATTAATTAAGGGATAAATTAGTTAAAAATATGATTAATTTATTTAATTATGTTTTTGGGTGGCTAATTGGATTTGTGGGTTATATTTGGCTCTAAATTGAGATAGGATGAAAGTCGGATCAAGTCGGGAGGCATCGGGGGTTGCAAAATCAAGTTGTTGCTCACTACACCATAAGCCGTGGCTTGCGTGGCATGCACTGCAGTACATGGCACAGCAGGCAACTTAAATTTTCGGGAATCATAAAAAATGGATAGAATTTTGGGTGGAAAACCTAGAGCATGAAGGGGGTAACTTTGGGCACTGCTAGAGCATCAATTTAGGAGTATTTTGAAGATGATTTGAGCCTTCAAACTCTTGGGTAAGTTTCCTACCCTTCTTCTCTATCTTTTCATCTCATTTTTCATGGGATTTGGAAGAGTGAGAATTTAGTCTGATTGGATTAAGCCATGAGTCAATGTTTTGAAGGTTTCTATTGACTCTAAAGGTTTAATTTAGGTTTATTGATCTCGGATATATGGTAATATGAAGCTACTTTGTTGTTTAGTGCAAGTTAAATCAAGCTTTATCTTGATCATAAGGTGTTGAAGTGTGATAAGTTGAGATATTGAGTTTTATGTTATGATAGAGTTAGAAGGAGACTTGAAGGGATGATGTGAACAAATTCTAATCTTGACAAGTCTATTTGTTGAGAATTGAGTAAGAAGTGGGAGAATTGAGAGGTTATTGATAGTTAATAGTGCTTGTGTTAATTAAAAATTAACATATAGTACTTGTTGTTGTAGATTGTGGTGTGGGAAAACACAAGAAGAAATTTAGTACCATAGGTAACCCTTTCATTAACAAAAGGGTTGAGGTAACTAGATAATTTGCATTGTTTATTAACTTGTATAAGTTATTCTCAAGTTGTTTTTCTATGATTGTTGAGTAGATATGTAAAAATTCTTTAAAGGTTAACTATTCTAGAAAATGAGTGGAGTATTGGTTTGTGAAATTCTATATTTTTGAAGTAATGGTAAGATTTGTTATATTTGTTTGGAAAGTTATTTATACATGATCAAGTGGAGATATGTAGTGAAATGTGGCATATTAGAGGGTGGGAGGTCACCTTAGTGGAGATAGTGAAGATTAAGTCTATATGGCATTGCTGGCACCTCAGGACACTAGGTGCAGCATTTATTCTCCTTAGTACCCAAAATGGGTGCATTGTTGGAGACTTTCTCTCTTTAGTACTTAAAAGGATGCGGAGTTGGAGACTATGCTTCTTAGCATCTGTAGGATGCGGTGTTAGAGTAACGACACCCTAATTCCTTGTAATAGGGGGAAATAGTAGTCCATAAGTGGTTTCAGACACC